GAAGTTGTTTGTGGCAGCAGAAAGCCGTCGCAGTGTAAGAAGAGATCTTCAAATCCACAATTTGTAAGTCTTTCTTTTATTATAAGAATTATTTGAGGCGAGGCCACATATGTTTTGGTACAAAAGTAAACGAGATTATGAGGTGTGGAGTAACAGCATAAGGAGAATCAACATAAAGTTTAGTTTGTTTTATTGTAAACAAAAGGTAGGCCTAGATATTCGAAGCGAAAATTTTGTTTTTGGATATAGAATTGAATAGAGACAGTTTTTTATACAGCGAGGTGCTGCTAAATGACATCGCTAAATTTCCAAAATAGTTTATTTGGTAGAGAATTTTTTATATTATTAAATTTTTACTAATTAATATTATTAAATTGTTTTTACTATTAAAGTCATTTTTAAATTTTCCCAATCTAAATGTTCTTATTCGTAAATAATATAGACCGTTATCAACAATTGCGATAATTGATAATAATGAAGCTATTCAATTTTTTATGTGTATCTTTTTTTTTCGATAAAAACTAGCTAGTCATGCATTCGCGATGTAAACGTTTCAGTACTCTTGTTTGTTCTTGTTTTCAGAAAGCACTTAATACTGAACAGTCACGACAATGCACTTTTCTTGTGGGGGCGCACAGATCTTGCCGGATATAATGCAGCTATTAAAATGGAATGTATTTGTCATGACAAATTAAGTAGAAAGTCCTTGAAAGTTGTAAATAGATGATTCTTTAGCGTTCTAGATAAATATAATAAATATAAAACAAGTCTACATAATTAGCCCTATTCTGTAACTACAAATCGAATAGAAATGAGTCAAATCGAATAGAGGTCAGCAAGTCGGATCGGAATTTGTAGGAATCGGTATTCTGTAACTCATCACGACTTCTACTATCGGAATGTTGTGTAGAAATTGATTTCGACTAGACAAGCTCTGTCGAGATTAATTTTCGACATCGAAATTGGTCTTGACGCTTGCGCATTGGTATCATTATTTTGACATTTGTTTTGACTTATTTGTTGACTTTTTAAAAATAATAAATTAATTATTGTTAATATAAATTAGCGGTTTATTAATTTTTGCAGCTGCTTCATTTTTTAGTCTGTGTTGTTATTTATTTATATAATTGTATATTTAATTTAATTTTTGTCGTCTACAATGAATTTCCAAATAGACATGGGTATCATTCTTGGAGGAGAAATAGAAGCAGAGCTACAAAGGCAAGTACTATAGTTTTAAGAATAACTACATTTAATAATTTATAATAATTGTTTTTATTTTTTAGACAACTTTTTAACTTACAAAAACGAGTTATTAGGGATACAAGTAATCCGTTTGAAATTCCTGACGAACTTTTTAAAGGTTTATATAGGCTTCCAAAACAGATAGCCAACAACTTAATCCATGAATTAGAACCATTCTTAATAGATCCACTCAGAATTACGTCAATTCCAATTCATTTGAAAGTAATTATGCTGAAAATACCGAATGAACATCTGTTAATAGTTATTTTATAGGTCCTATGTGCATTACATTTTTATGCTCATGGAAGTTATCAAAAAAGCGTTGGGCAAGATTTTTTACTAGGGATGAGTCAGTCGGTGGTTAGTCGTTGTATTGGAGAAATTAGTAGGATACTATCGACACATCTTAGTAGAAGATATATTAGATTCCCCACAACCATAGTGGCAAAGATGTCAGTAGCTCGTGGGTAAATACAGTTAAAGTTATTCAAATATCAACTTAATTATTGTAAATTTTAGTTTTATGGAAAAGTTTAATTTCCCAGGTGTAGTGGGTTGTATAGATGGTACTCATATAGCAATCGTTTCCCCACCTATTGATCATCCACAAAATCCAGGTTTTGTATACCTTAACAGGAAAGGTTTTCATAGCATCAATTGCCAGATTGTATGTAAGTTGTTAACATTAAATATTTGAAGTAAATTTTCTTTGTTTTAGATATGTGATTCGAATTTAAAAATACTTAATTGTAATGCTAGATATCCAGGATCCATGCATGATTCAGCAATATGGAATATGTCACATGCAAGCATTCATATGGAGGAAATGTATAATAATAATGAACGAGGATTTTGGTTGTTAGGTATATCAAAAAAAATCAGCATAAGTGCAAATTACTTTAATTTTATGACAATTGTAGGTGATTCTGGGTATCCGTTGCAACCATGGCTATTGACACCAGTAGAAGGGGCACAAGAAGGAACCCCAGAAGGTCGATATACATCTGCACATATACATGTCCGAAACACAATTGAACGCTGTCACGGTGTTTTGAAAATGCGCTTCCGTTGCCTTTTAAAGCACCGTGTTCTACATTATTGTCCTGTTACAGCGGCAACTATTATAAATTCCTGTTGTGTTTTACATAATATCCTTATTGCCCATAATGTCGAAGTAGAAGACAATTATGAAGATTTCAACAGAGTTGAACAAAATCCTGTTGAAAATAATGATGGTAAATTTTTAACTTTGAATATTTACAAAGTTTTTTATAACTCAATTTTTTTCAGAACCCCCAAATGTAAATTTGCTAGGTATAGGTCGAAGAATAAGAAGCCAATTGATAAGAAATTATTTTAATTAAATATATTTGTATGAACATATAGAACAGTAACAAATAAAATGTACAAAAACTATTATATGTGGTTTTATTTGAATGTGTCTAATTTTTTTCTTTAAGTTTTAGTTCCTTCTCTCTTAAATCCAATTCTCTCTTTCTTATTTCTAATTCTTCGGTTTTATTTTTTGCTTCCAGCCATCTTACTTTTAACTCTAGCTCCTTCAAGTCCAATTCTCTTAGCCGCAACTGCTCGTTCTCAGAAACTGACTCTTTCATGGCCATGAAACGCTCTAAAATTGCAGCAGTTTCTTTTTGGCCTACAGCATATGCCTCTGCTGCCTTTTGGAGATTACTACTTCTGTCTGAAAATAAAAATAATACAAACTTAATAGAAAACAAAACATTATTCTCAAATTAATTAGCAATTTAAAAATATTTGTATGTACCTTTTGTTGGGGCTTTTCTCTTAGGCGCTACATAAATGGATTCTGCTGGACATTTTGATGTGCTAGGTAATATTTCTGTCTCAACTGGACACTCTTCTAGTTCATCTAAGCTTTCCATTTGCTCTACAATTAGGATGTCATCTAATTGATTATTTGTTGGTACAGGATCTATAGTTTCATTACTAAATCCTACTTCCTGTACATCAGCACCTTTCACTGCTATCCAAGATAATAGTCCCATTAATTTGTCTTCGATTGGGGTTAATATTTTTCCATCTGATTCTCCACCACCTGTCCGTTGTTCAGATTTTATGCACTCTCTTGCTTTTTTTTTGTATGACTCTTCCAGTCAATGAAGGTCTGCAAAATAATTTAATTATCTAACTAAATTACTAATAATTATATATCATCAAGGTTAATGAAAATCATTAAACATTTTAAGAATTGCTGCTCTAATTAATTTACTATACCAAAATCTAATTAATTTACCAAAACTCTTCTACTTAGTCTTAGAAAAAAAACTTACTTTCTTCCACTGCATTTTTGATTTTTGCGGACCTGAACCCATGGCATTCAGTGAGAGAGTTAACTCGTCCCACAATTTATCGATAACATTGTTATTTGCTTCTGACGGTTTGGTTTTTCCGTGCAATAATATTTTATGATCAGACATAAAATTTACTAAGTAATTTAATTGCTCAGCAGATGCCTTTTTCCTTGGTGTTCCACTTGCCATTTTGTATTCTTTTGTAAATATAACGAACTTTTCAAACTTAACCAAAACAAATCAAAACTACTTGACAACAAGCTTAAATATAATCTTCTTTTTTGATGAATCTTCGCGCGCGCTAGACTTTCCAGTAACATAACGTCACAGAACACTTATTTCACTTTACAGAGCGGGGTTGCCACCAATTTCTGAGCGCGTCAAATAGAAGTTGGCGTTTTCGATTTAGACCGATTACGATGTGAGTTACAGAATGCCAATCCAAACACGACAACGACGCGATAGATATCCAACATTCCGATTTTGGGTAATTACGATTCGACTTGGTCATTTCTATTCGATTTGTTAAAAGTTACAGAATAGATCTGAATATTATAAATCGATATTAACAAGTTCCTTTTACAGTAGTTAATTACAATTTACATCATCCATTCAAATAAACATCTTCTAGGATAATTTAGTTTGTGCACACATTTTTTTAAAAACGGTTTTTGATTGAGGTTAAAATGTCTTTACATGCTTAGTTACATTTTATCGAATTGTATTGCTTTAAATTGTAGAAATAATCGAGAGAAATTAATGACTTTTGAAATTTTACTAGATTTCCACAAATTGTCCCACAAATAATCTATTAGGTTAAGGTCAGGATTTCTAGGAGGTCGCGCTAGTTTCTGACTACCAACAATATTTTTTAAATAATTATACAGTTTTCAAATGAGAATATTTGTATTTAGAGCGTTAAAAGTTATAACACGTTTGGTTTGGTACAAACATCTTTGGTTTTCTTTCCATCTGTTTGAACTGCAGCACTTGAGTGTAATAGAGATTGGAAATATATAAAAAATTAAATTAAATAATGCTTAAAAAAAGAATAAAGCAAAGGGTAATATACTGTACAGAATGAAAGAAACTAAAGATGTCTTCAAGCCACTTGACATTGAAAATAAATGACTTTGTCAAAATCACAAAACCTTCCACCTGTTTGGATAAAAAATAGGACATAGATGACAAGTAGAAGAACTAAAATATACCAAGAAGAACGAGCTTACTATCATCAGGGGTGATTTCAATGCCAAAGTTGGCAAAAACAGAATAGAAGAACCTTTAACCGCTAGTAAATCTGTGCGTCATTGATTATAGAAAAACCTGTGACTGTAAAGGAGGTAATGGTGATAGATAATTTGAACTTAAATGAAGTGGTTTAGAAAAGGATTATTTCTAAAATGTTTTATTTATTTTCAGGGTTTAGTGTGGGAGATGAGCTGGGATTCAAAGAGTCCTTGACAAACTCTGAATCCTCCAAGAGACGATCAGCATCAGTATCCAAACTCACTGCCCAGTTAATCCAAGCGCAACAAGCACAGCAAGAAGCAAAGAAAAGGGTAGGTATTTACTATTCAAGTAATTTTTAACAATAGATGTAAGCATATGTTTAATCTTAGAACCACATCGTGGGATCCATTCTTAAAATCGCTTCAAATTTAACTTGGAAAAATGAAAGGTAAAGCAAGACAAAATTTACATTTTTCACAAATACTAAAAAACTAATGTTCCGTGCATATATTTTTTTGAACAAGAACACAAATATGGCGTCTTTTCCTATCGCGAAATCTTGGGTAAAAGTCACAACGACTTAGAAGGTTTTTTGGTTCTTGGGGCGGCAATTCATCAGGAAAATCCAAGGTAGTCGCGAATAGACTGACTTAATTTTTTTGGCAATCTTTCACCAATATACTCCTTAATTTAAAAGAATTGATTCCCATGGAGTCTAACATACCACCTAAAATTCATAAAGGCCATCTTTTAGTTTTTCGGGTAATTGTTTTTGAGTGACAAAGCTGGTCAAATATATCGACCCCCTTAGTCAAATTGTATAACAACGCCTTGATTGTATAACACCACGCATGTTTTCTTTCCTGATGCGAAACTAGGGTAATGTCTTTTGAAAAAGCGAAACCTGATGAATGGATTTCTTCAGAAATATTGTATTGTATTTTCCTTTTGTTTTTGTAAAGAGTTCCAATCGTAGTGAGTTTATTTTCAAGTTACTTTTGTGCTTATTCTAATTATAATAAGAAAACAAATTATCCATCGTAATGTTGAGATTCAGGGGTAATATTTGGTCTTTTCCAGTATAGGAAATAGCAGAACCCTGTATTTAGTATTTAAGATTGTTTTAATTTTGAGACCACATTTGTTGGGTTTGGTATGTAAGTACATCTTAAATGGACACCGTCCTCTAAAATTCAATAGCTGTTCATCTGTAGTTACATATTCGTATGGAGTATAGATACTTTTGCAGTTTGTTATAAATAACTCCCAAATTTCGCTTATTGCTTTGTCCACTGCTTTTCTCTCAGCACCTGTTCTTCGAAACGCGTGTTCATCGAAAATTTTATCATCGAAACGCAAACTATTTAAAAGAAAATCGAATCGTTACCACATGTCCTCTTTATTTACTTATTGACAATTATATCCAAAATGTTGGTGAAAAAATGTCATTGGCTGTGAGCACCATTTAAAACCGTTTTTGGTAGTTTATATAACGTCATCATTATTTTCTATCTCTTCCTGTACTTCTTTTAATGTATATTAATCAGGTGTAGAATCGTTGACTAAACATCCATCCTCATCTTCACAATTTTCTTCATCTAAAGACCGCCAATATCTTCGATATCTTGGGAAGTAATGAGAATATTATTTATCCCAATAGTAAGTGGAACATTAAAAAAGCCAATTAGTCATTATACTGTCAGTTTATTGATACCTTATTAACTAACAACCCTCACGCGTCCTCAAACACCCAAGAAAAATATAATTTTCTTATTGACTGTATTAATGAAGACTCTAAATAATCTATTTGCCAATATAAATCATTTAAATATAAACGTACTCCCCCTCCGTGGTGGGATTCGGAATGTGATTAATCCGCTGCGGAAAGAAAGAAAGCATTAGTAAACTACAAAAGAAATCCTTCTCCTGAAAATTTTTGTAAATGCAAAGAAGTGAGTGAAAAATTCCTAAAATTAAAGGCCAAGCAAAGTTGGGGTTGAATGGTGTTCAAAATTAAATAAACAAACTCCATCTAGTCTTATTTGGAACCAAGCAAGAAAAATGAATAGGAAAAAAGTTAACTTTCTACTCTAAGTAACTCATGGGTAGACGACGTTTTTGATAAAATAGCTCCACCTTACGTAAATAACCAGGTAGATTTAATGGCATTTGAAACGCTCCTATGTGATTAGAATAATTTTCTCTTAACACCTTTTTCAAGAGCTGAATTAGAGTGTGCCTTTGATAATCGTGTTAGTACCTCACCAGGATATGATGCAGTCAAATATCCGATGATAAAAAATTTTTCAGATAACGCAAAAGAATTACTTTTAAATATATTTAACCAGATAATTATTGAGGGTAATGGCATAATCGATTTTAAGCGTATTATAGTCGTCCCTATTTCCAAACCGGGAAAAAACTTTAAATTAGCTGAAGCTTACAGACCTAGATCATTATTATCATGTATATTAAAGGCTCTTGAACCGATAATTAAAATTAGGTTTGATTGGTGCCTAAGAGATCAAAGTCCCTTACCCGTTAATCAACATGGCTGTAAGAAACGTTATGGAACTTTAGATTCCTTAACAACTCCTGTTGTAGACATTCAGAACAGTTTTCCAGAAACAGTTATGTACCTGCTTTATTTTTAGACATCTAAGGTGTTTACTACTCGGTATCTCTTACAATTTTCCAAGAAAAAATGATTAATTTTTTTTTATTCCAGCACAGTTTGCTTCTAACGTTGTGAACCTGTACACAAATAGGATAATTTATTTAAAAAACCATCATACTCCTATATAACCTAAACTTAATAACAAAGGATTGTCTCAGGGCTCCGTTTTGAGTCCTAATTTGTTTAACATTTACACACAGATCTACACAACATCACTATTACTAATATTGCATTTAATATTGTAAAATATGCTGACTTCTGTTTGTATACAGAACACAAAAAATATTAGCAATCCATTGAAAACCTGAATAAAGTGTATGAATTCCATCAAAAATGGTATATAGAAAATGGTTTTGAATTATCTTGCAGTAAATCACAAGTTTGTTTATTTACCAGACATAACTTTCCTAATGCCAGTACAATCAATTGAGGAGGGCACCAATTTTACTTTAAAAACACAATTAAATATCTGGGAATGATACTCGACCAGAAATTTACCTGGAAGTTACATATTAATGACATGTTGAACAGATGCAATAAGGGATTAAACTTTCTTAAATCAATTAATAAAACTTGGTGGGGATCGGATGTTAAAGTAAGTTTATTATTTTACAAAGTTTACATACGACGTATTTTGGATTACGGAAGTGTTTTGTATGGATCAGCAAGTAATGTACTACTACTAAACAAAATCAATATTTTACAGAACTCAGCTTTACGAATATATTTAGGTGCCATGAGATCCACTCCAAAACAAGATTTATATTTGGAAGCCTTGGAATCCTTTAAATATAAGACGAAGTTTTTTGTCCAAGAAATATTTAATGAAAGTATATTCACTGAACTTATCTCTATATAAAAAGATAGTGACTTTGAATTACCATGACCTGACAAATAAATATTGGCAAAAAAAGGAATTTCCCTTACTTTGCGAAGCGTATAATCAACATATAGCATGTTTAAAAAATATAGATAGAACGAACTACATATTCAAAAACTACTCTTCTTTCTTTTTACATACAGATATTATTGTACCAAATTATAGTGAAAACATATATTTAAATAAAAATATTTAACACAGATGCGTCTGACAGATGCGTCTGAATCTCCAGACGGAACCGAATTCTTTTTATACCATCGGGACATATAGAAAAGAAATTCAAACTGAACCTGAAGACTTCGATTTATATAGTAGTGGCTATTGCAATATATGAAGCTTTATTATATGTAACTGAAGTTAATTTTGCCCATATTATAATTTTGTCTGATTCCTTAGCAGTGTTAAAATTTATTGGTAAATATGCACCCCAACCTTACAAGACTGCCCATACATTTATAGAGTTAAACCTATTAATCAAACTCTTTTAACCAAAGGAATCAATGTACATTTTCTCTGGATTAAAGTACATGCAGGATTTGAACATAATGAATATGTCGACTTATTACCCAAAGAAAGCATTTCAACCGATATTGGTATTCTACATAAAGTAACGCTTTCTGATAGTATTATTTCTTGCAAGTCAACATTGCTTTGAGAGTGAAGCTACCAGTGGAAGGAATACTCTTTTGTGAATCAAAATAGATACTCGTTAATTCAGCCAGATATTCCCAAATTTCCTTGGTATAAGTCTTGTAGAGCTTCCAGGAGGCACACAACTTCCAGTATTAAAAAATGATTCGGGCACGCATGTTATCCAAAACACTTATTTAAAATACACGTTTTGGATGATGACAAATGTGAGCATTGTGGAGAGGAAAGTGATTTAGATCATATATTTATTGGTTGTTCTAAAATTAGAGTCTACTCATCCAAACTTATAAATGATTTATTAAAATATAAAATAGCAGCTCCTTGGAACATATTATAATTATTATCACTTGGCTCTGTAGATGTTTCTTCTTCTTAGAGTGCCGCCTCCCTACGGAGGTTGGCAATCATAATGGCTATTTTTATTTTAGAACTTGCTGCTCTAAACAAATCAATCGATCTGCATTGGTACCAATCACGTAGATTCTTTAACCATGAGTTCTGCCCTCGGCCAACATACTCTCAAAATTTCATATTTTGGTCCCCTCATCACGTGGCCTAGGTATTCCAGTTTTCTGGTTTGTATAGTGGTGATTAGTTCTGTTTCTTTACCAACCCTCTCCAGTACTTCTTTATTTGTAATTCTGTCAGTCCATGATATTTTCAATAATCTGCGGTATAACCAAAGTTCGAAGGCCTCGATTCTTTTTAAATTACATTTTTTAATGTCCAAGTCTCAGCTCCATATAATAATATTAAAAATATATAACAGCGAATGGTACGTAGTCTGATCTCCAAATTTAGATTTTTGCACGTTAGGAGTGGCTTCATTCGTATAAATGCTGATCTGGCAATCTCTATTCGCCTGTTTATTTCTACAGTATGATCATTGGTTTCATTGATCAAAGTTCCCAAATACTGATATTTTTCTACTTGTTCTATCACGTTACCATTTATTGTCAATAGGTGATGTATATTTTGTGGCCTTTTTGTAATCAGCATGTACTTCGTTTTTTTAGCGTTTATAGTAATTCCCATCTCAGCACTATTTATACTCAAGCTTTCGATAAGATGTTGTAGATCATCTATACTCGTTGCTATGATCACAGTGTCGTCTGCATATC